AACGGTACGGCAAGCCATGACGGAGGTGACCCCCCGGCACGGCTCCCCTGGGGCGTCCCCAGCTTGGCGTGGGGGTGATCCGCTGCGCCTCCCGGGGCGGAGGAACTCTGGGAGCGTCCCCAGCCCCCGGCGCTGACCCCACTGCGTGTCTCCCCCCACGGCAGGTTTCACACCATGTCCATCATGATCGCCGTGGACATCCTGGGCTGCACGGGCAGCACGGAGGAGCGGGCGGCCCTGCTCCACAAAACCATCCAGCTGGCCGCCGAGCTGAAGAGCACCATGGGGAACATGTTCAGCTTTGCGGCTGTGATGAACGCCCTGGAAATGACACCGGTACGGGCAGACTCCCTTCTTCCTCATGGCCTGGGCTCAGCCCCCCCACCCCAAATAAATCCCTGCGTCCTGCAGGTTCCGACACCCCTCAGGGCGGGAGAAGGGGGAAAATGCCCAGGGTAGGAGGCGCGGGGCCACGTCCGCTGGGTTGTAAGCAGGAAAAGGGAAGAGCCATCCCCTCTGCGGAGCAGACAGCCCAGTCCCGCCGGGATCTGATTGTTTTTCGGTGGTTGGGCTTTTTGTTTTGTGCTGGGCTGTGTTCCTGGGAGGAAATGAATCTGCCCTCCGGTACAATACAAATCAGGCTCAAGGCTGTGGCAGCAGCGTCTCCGGGCCACACTCTTCCCTTTGGAAGATGAAAGGAGATTAAAATTCAATTTTAAATCGAGCCCAGCTGGGAAGTCTTGCTTCCTGCCTGCACAAAGGATGGCTGCCCCCTCCCTGTGTCTCATCTTCAAGGCCACCGTGACGCAGGGAAGCCGCTGTCCTGGGGCACGGAGAAGGGGGAGAAATCCCGAATCCAGCCTCGGTGCCAGGGATGTGCTGTCTGTGGCCGCGAGCGCTGGGGGAGGAGCAGCTGTCTGGGGAAGCAGCAGGCGTTGCTGTGTGCAAGGCTGGGGGCCGTGGCTCTAGGGCCAGGCTATTGTCCCCCCGGGAGCACCCTGTGAGCCTGGAGCTCGGTGCCCGGGGGCTGTGCTGCCCCCAGCACCTCCACCTGCCCCATCTATTTGCAGATCGCCCGACTGGAGCAGACGTGGATGGTGCTGCGGCAGCGGCACACGGAGGGTGCGATCCTCTACGAGAAGAAGCTCAAACCCTTCCTGAAGAGCCTGAACGAAGGGAAAGGTAACGGGAGCAATTCCCCTTCTCCCACCTGCCTGCCCCTTCCTGCTTCATCCAGGCACGGCCTCACTGGAGCAGGACGCGTTTGAGCTCTTTCC